TTAAAAGAGATTAATGCCAAAGTAATTTGCCCTCTTTCAGGGTAGGTTCTTGGATTTCCTGGGAACATAAAAAGCACCACTGGATTCCGATAACTGCTGGTCTCTTGATTACAACAGGATTACCCCAAAAGAAAACTGACCTTTTTGGCAGATTCTGAAGTGAAGTCTGGGTGGGTGAGCAGGATATCCATATCTCCACTGGATTCTGCACCTTTCAAAGTCAAGCCGAGCAGCAGAAGTCAGTTCAGCCTTAGATATAAGATCCAATTTAAGAAAAATATGTGGAGTGCTACTAAAAGTGACAGGAGGAGATTGGTACTTTCAGACTTGCACAGTTCTGTTAATGAAGCCTTACATAATTGGCTCAGCTGGTCAGTTTTTCTGTCTGGTTTACCTGGGAGGGCCAACATCAATACTGCAGCACTGAAAGTACACATTTCCTGCTGCCTCTAAAACAGTCTACAGTATAAAAACAGCGCACAAGATAAGGAAGGGGGAGAGACCCTGGAAAGAGTGCAGAGAGAAGGGTGGGTAAGTCCCTTTCTCCGAGGTTGCTGTCATTGCAAACTGTCGTTAAGCAAACAATCATTAAGTCAGGAACTATCTGTTATCGGAGCACTTCAAACTTCCAAGACATTCTTTGAGGGACCACAGTGGGTTTGCTTTGGCGGGGGGGGGGGGGGGGGGGGACACGGAACACCAACCTCGGCGAAAACTGCCACAAACCGTAGCGATGTAGGCAGGGTCTACTTTCTTCACTTCGCTCAGTACGACGTCCTGTTGTGAAGAAAGAGGTCAAGACATGTGATCTCTCGTGAATTCTTACGCCTTTTTTTCTTCAGGGGAAGGAGGTATCATTGATTACCTGCATTTCAAGCATCTCCTTCCTAGGAATTCTTTTTTCAAAGTCTTTGAAGTATCTGTGCGTGCAAAATAAAGGATAAATCAGGGATGAATTGTGACTGGGATCCACCACAGATTTATTTTCAAAGAAATTCTGCTGAAATGAAATGCTTAGATTGGCATCAGAAGCACATCACCATTAAAGACAATTTCCATGCATATTAAGACTTATTTTAAAATATCCATTATACTGAATATTTCTGACATCAGATAAGTTTTACAGCAGTTCATCCTAAATAACAACTAAATGATGCAAATAAAAATTCTACTGCTATGCCCTGCCATGCCCTTTCTACTATTACGAAAGAAATAACAAGGAGCACTAACAGATTACACAAGAAAGGTTTTTCACAAGTGTGATAGAATTTTTAAGTAATCAAACAACATTGGCATCTGCTTTGAGAATAGAAATGTCTATTTTCAAGGACACCCTCTATAAGTTTCCATGCATCTAATTGTTCCTCTAAAAAACCAAAATGGAAAATAATCTGCTTCCCTCCTCACCCTAGAGTCGACAGTTAGCCTCTTGTGGATCAAAATAACCATATGTCAGAAATGAGGTGCCTTTCCTAGGCACGAAAACTCTGTCTTCCCGTCCCTCAGATGAACCAAGTAAACAGATCTTACTTTAATCCAATGCGTTGATGATGATTCAATTTATTTTCATTTTTCCTTAAGTCTAGAAAAAACAACATGGAACCAGTTAAGTATTAAGTCTTTCAGAGACAGCGGGAGGGAAGGAGAGGGAGAGAGAGAGGGAAGGAGGGAGGAAGGTGTCAGAAATTTAATTACTGCAGAAACAATTTGTGTTATCCGTGTTAAATTTAATATTCCATCAACTCACAACATTCTTTTAGCAAAACAAAAATGCTATAACAGCTAACATATCATACATTTTTTTTAAAAAAACGATACATCGGTTACACTGACATAAGATCATCCTGCAGAAGAATCAAGTCTAACCGAGCAACAAGATTATCTTGACCTGGGGAGTCAGACTCTGCTTGCCAATGTGCAGAAGGGTGTCTGCTTATCTGTTTTAGCCGGGTGCTCAACAAATCTCTCAAAGTGGCCATACACCTTCAGATGTAAATGCAGATATGCAAGTAATAACCTCTTAATAGCTCACCTTCCAATGTTTTAATACCTTCATCTACTAGTTTCCTGGCAGCAGCAGGACTGCAGAGAAAAAGGTAACTCATTAACAGCTGGACAGAATTTCCACTGCAAAATCTCAGTAGAACTCAAATTAACACTACATCCGAGCAAGAAAACTGATGGATTATTTAACCCAAATGGTAGCAATTAATTCAGAAAGGTAAGATAGCGGCAACTGAAAATCTTTGGGAAGCAAAGAAAACTAAAGCTATTCAGAGCTGAGGAGATATCAAACAATGACAGAGAAGATTTACAGTATTTATTTTATTTAGTGTATGGCAAGGGTCCACAACCTGTGGCCGATTCGCAACTAGGCCACGAGGGGTGTGCCAGCACACTGGCCCTCGCAGCCACCCTCGGCCCACAGCTTCAAACAAATGCTCGCCTGCCCCTCATGCAAAACCATCCCCTCTTCCCACCCCCCACCCTCTGGGGCTGGGCCACCAACCCAGAAAGGTTGGGGAATGCTGGCATAGGGCATCTACAGAGGTCACGCACAGAGAAGATGTAATTGGGCTTTGTTAAAATATACAGAATAAAATTTATTTAGTATTATTTTGTTTGGGAAACCTGATTCCTATTTTTTAGATTTCAATTATTTGCCTTTTTCAAACACCCCTTTTGACAGTTTAAGATTAAATATGCCTATCAATTTACCCTATGCCACTAACTCTGGTCAATAAATTGATAGAAGAACTTGTGTCATCTTGTCGAATCTAGAGGAAGGAAAATATGATAAAATGACTACTTTGTACACACACACACACACACACAAAGAGGAAGACTGATAGCATAGCTGGGCTGAAACATTATCACCAGGATACATGAGAGCATGTTAGCATGTGAATTGCAAAGACAGGATGATATGAAATGAAAAAATATATAAAATAAGACCAAAAATTCAAATATCTACCTTTTCTATCTTACGTAATTTTCCAGTAGATAAAAATTCATCGATCTTTTCAGCAATTTTAGTTCCTACGCCATCCTAAAGTATGAAGTTGACATTAAAAAAAACCCAGTCTTACATTTAGTCATCAGTGACATCAGACAACAAGCTCTTAGCATACAAACACACATGAATGTTTTCAGTTCAGTAATTTCTCCAAAATTTCTCAACTGTCCTTTTCAGCAAAAGAGGACCCATTTTCTGTAAAACAGAAATATGAGATTTCTATGAACCTGTCCAGTGAACACCTTCTTGCTAAATGGATTTAATTATATTTAGAATATTTAGAATCAAGCAATTTCTCAATGAAGTTTGACTGAAATACCAACCATTAAAAACTCCCGAAGAATTTTGGAAAATTCCTTATTCTTATTAGCTCCAGAACTTACCAATTTCTTTGCTTCAGATCCACTTTTAATCTTGTTAGGGTACTTGGATATTACAGATGCTGCTTTCCTGCAGGGGAGGAGAAGAAAAACTTTTTTGGGCAGCGCTGTCAGTCTACGGCAGGGGTCCCCCGCAACTCTGGCTCACTGCCAATCACACAGGACCATCCCTTCTCCTCCCCCCCGTCCCCTGCTGGCCCACCAAGCTGGAAAAGTTGGGGACTGCTGGTCTATGGCAAAAGAGTTTTCCAAATTGCATGACAACATTCCAAGAACAGCCTTTTTCAAGAAAGAAACACCAGGAAAATTCTCCACTGTATTTTCTAAAACACCACTGAGAGATTCCACGTGAAACAGATTAGATGATTGTTCCCAAAATGTAAATCTTACCTGTAAGCATTGTATTTATGAATAGCTCTATTCACATTCTTTTCGTAGTTCGCCAATTCTGAAAAAAGTAATAAAGAACAGCATAAATTAATACAAGTCTCAATTTAAATATTTAATTATTTTAAAAAAATATGGCCAGTCAACTCAATGATTCTGGGCAGATTATAGGGGTAACAGTACAAAAAGTAGTAACCTCCCATCCCTTGGTGACAAATATGTAAGCACTGTATTTATGAATCTGAAGAGGGCTTTGGATAGGAGATGCTCTCGCAATCTGATCGATATGGAGCGCTTTTGCAAGGAAGAGTGGCAAAGATGCCCCAAAGACTGAATGTTAGGTTGTCTAAAAGCAAAAGATAAACAAAATATTCATTTCAGTTTTTGTGCACTTAGGCAACCATGTTATTAGATGGGTTTTTTTTTACTGTTTTCCCCATTAAAAATATTTCTTTATTGAAAAATAAATTGAATCACACAGCTTATACTGAGCCGTGGTGGCCCAGTGGTTAGAGGGCAGTACTGCAGGCTCCTTCTGCTGAAGGCAGTTCAAATCTCCCCAGGCTCCAGGTTGACTCAGCCTTCAGTCCTTCTCAGGTGGGTAAGTCAGCAGAAGCCAGGAGGGTTTTTTAGGAAGAAGTTTTGAGGCTGTTCAGGACAGGGCTCTCCAACCTGGGGGCCCTTTAAGCCTGGAGGACTTCAACTCCCAGAATTCCCCAGCCGGCTTTGCTGGGAGTTGAAGTCCTGGGAATTCTGGGAGTTGAAGTCCTCCAGGCTTAAAGGGGCCCGGGATGGAGCGATGCGCAAGGCGTGCCTAGATATTCCCACAGCCCGCTTCCATGAGGCTTTTGTGCCGCCGAGGCTCACGAAGGACACACGGAGGCCCGCGGGGAGAGGCGGGTCCGAGGGAAAGACTCGGCCGCGGCGTCCCCTCAGAAGCCCACCCAGGGTCTCCCGAGCGCTGCTTCGAGTTCCCCCGCGCCTTAGCATCAACACCGCCGTCCCCCCTCAACTCCCCCCGGAGCTCCTCTCCGCCCCGTCCCCCGCTGGCCGGCCCTCCGCCTGGGGCGGCGGTACCCACCGCTGAGGAGGTCGGTGATGGCCTGGTTGGGGTTCTCCTGCGGGGCCTTGCGCTTGCTCATCGCGCCGGGCCTCTCTGCACGTTCCTAGCTCTCTGGATGGCCGGCCTGGGTGGGGGGAGGGAGTGGGGAGAGAGAGTGTGTGAAAAAAAAGGCCGAGGCGGAAGTGACGCACGCGGCAGCTCCGGAAGTGGGGTAGCCGGCTGCGAGAGGCCGAACGATGTAAGTGGGGCTGAGCGGCCCTCACCCGCCCCCCCCCCCGCATCCCCGGTCTCCCCCCGGCTGCTAACCGCCGCCTCTCCTTCTTCTCCCCGCAGGGCAAAGGTCACCTTCAAGATCACGCTCACTTCGGACCCGCGCCTGCCTTACAAAGTGTGAGTCCCAATGCAACGGCTCGACACGTCACGCTGCGCCTGAAGCTCCCATTTGCAACCTGCGGGGGCGCGCGGCGTCATTTCCCCCCCCCCTCCTCCCCCCCCCCACATGGCCGGTCCCCAAAGCTCGGGGGGTCCCCGCTGCTCTGGAGGACCGGCTGCTGTCCCGTGGGGGGCGGGGGAGGGACCGGGAGCCGAAAGGAAGCCGGGTCCAGGAGGGGAGGGGATGAAGACCAAGCCTGGTCAGGTCGTCCGCAGGGTCTCCTGCTTGGGCAGAGGGGTTGGACTAGATGGCCTATAAGGTCCCTTCCAACTCTGTGAATCTGAACCTGATGGGAGGCTCCCGGGATCCCCCCCGCAGTCACCGCCCAGGCCTGGCAGACGTGGCAGGGAAGCCCGGAGGAATCGCTCTTTGCATTCTTGCAGCCCCCAGGGAGCTGAGCTGGGCTTCCTGCCGTAAAATGGGACGCAAGCCCCCCACCCCCCCCACCCAAAGCCAGGGGTTAGAGACGGTGCTGGGACTGGGTTCTTAAAAAAAGCGGGGGTGGGTGGGCTTTGGTGTAGAAATCCGTAGGGGTCACTCGTTTTAGAGAACTACCTGTTTTTTGCAGGTTAAGTGTGCCTGAAAACACGCCTTTCACTGCCGTCTTGAAATTTGCTGCGGAAGAAGTGAGTGGTTTTCAAATCGTCCAAATAGATCCTTTTTTTTTTTGTAGCAACGTCTTGTATAAAAGATACAAAGAGATAACCTTTTTTATTTGGCAATTTGGAAATGGAATAAAAAGAACAATATAGAACGGGATAGTGTCGCTTTCCTTCTTGCAAAGGAGGAGTGACACGAATTAATTTTTTTACCAAGAGGAATGGCACGGTATTCTTTTAACGTCTTGTATTTCTCTTCAATTTAGTTCAAAGTCCCTGCAGCTACAAGTGCCATTTTAACAAACGGTGAGTTTACATGTGCGTCTCACAGGACTTGGCTCCACTCTGGAAAGGCGCTTTTTCAAAAGGCAGCTGGACTGTTTTTTTCCTTGAGGAAGAAGCAAGTTTTTTCCGCAAGGGGAAAAAAAAAAAAAGAGTCCAGTTGCATTTTGCAAAAGCGCCTTCGAGGCAACGATGACCTGGGTGACTAAGAGTCTCCCCAGAGATGGTTCCACCCTGCAGTGTTTGGGATTCGAGGCAGTATTGCAGCTCCTGTCCGTAACGGCTTCGTCTTGTCTTGGATTTGTAGGGCTGCCACCCCGTCTGACCCAGGGAACGGCAGGCTGCTTGAAGGAATTGCAGGCCGAGTCCTCGTGCTCAGCGGCATTTTTTGCCTTTAAAATCCTGCACAGTCCTAGTTCTAAAAATAGCACTGGTGACTTGTTAATGCCCATCCTGTTGAAACCCAGTAACAAGGCTTGTCTACTAGTTCCGGATCCCACGTGGTTAAACCATGCTAGCTTTTGCATAGAGGGTACAATTATACTTTTCTTAATTACATTTTTTAATCTCATGAACTGGGCAAGAAAGAACCTGATTCTTGTTTCAGTAAAGATTCCATTCCTTTTCATGGGATCCAGAGGGGAAATACTGCAGAAGAATCTCACTAACCTCTTTTAATTTCTTCCCCAGATGGAATAGGGATAAACCCTGATCAGACAGCTGGTAAGTGCCTATAAAATTGAGAGTATTTTGTAATGAATTCTGTCAAGTACTGCTGTAGATATTAAAGAAATGGGCTAGCAAGAAATAGATTTTTCCGCCATATCACATCAATAAAGCATGTGGCATCTCCTGACAACTTTTTCCAAACATTTCTGAACACAAAATAATTATGTTAAGACATGAATTGTCAGGTGTTCTAGTGGTGAATGATGACTTCTGCAGTTCAACAGATTCTGGAAAGCTTGAGATTGCTGACCTTTGTGAAAATATGCTCTCCTGAGACATACATACAGCTGAGCATTTGCAAGTGTGAAGTATTTTCATCACTCTGTGCTTTTACATTATTGCTGCTCTTTTTACAATAAGCTCATAAATTGTGGTTCTGCTAGGTCCAGACAAGCCATAACCTATTTGGTTAATGTGTGCTTCGGATGTTCTGTGTGATCCCTGCAATCTTTTTTTTTTATAATTTATGATAAACGATAAAATACTTCACCTTGAATATGACAACATCAAGAGTGTCACTTTTTTAGAAACAGGTTTCGTTTAGATTCTGAAATTTGAAACAAACCTCGTCTCTTACCCAACAGGAGAATATTTTTTTTCCCCCAGATCTGCAAAAATGTTTCGTGAACAAAGAAAAAGGACTTTGTGAGTTCAGATGTCTTGAGTAGGAGTACAGGGTGTGCTATAGTTCCTTACAAAGGTCTGGCCTGCTGCCATATTCTCTCCGCTATTCCCTAGTAGTGGAGAAGTAAAACATGCAGATTTTATTTTTTTAGAGCTTGCTTCTTTCCTGCTGAACTTTGCAAAATCATGTTTATGTCTTTTCTAAAACCTTTAATTAAAGCACAAATAAAAACCTCTTGTGTATCCTTTTAGGTAACAAACCTTTTCTTTTCCCAGGGAATGTTTTCCTGAAACATGGCTCAGAATTGCGGATTATTCCCAGAGATCGTGTGGGAAGATACTGGCACGTGCAGGGGCCACATACACTTAGATAACAGAACCAGCGGGCAAATACATCAACTGGCATGTCATCCAAGAATTTTGCATACCTTGCATTTCTGTATAAAATCATTGTTACCACAGTGAACTCATGATAAGGAGCCAGAATGTTATTTTTGAACAATGTCTAGAGGAGAATCTCATCACCACTACCATGTCTGCCTTCTTCTTTTGAAGCCTGTAGGCTTGTTTGCTTTCGGGGTTCCCCAGTTCACTTGGCGCAGACATTGCTATCCAATGGATGGTGTTTCCTGTTTCTTTGAAATGAAATGGAAAGCATTTTCTTGTGTTTACCAGCAGTGGGACAACAGCTACTTTTGCAGCCAAAGCAAAGCAGTTCATTAACACATTGACAAAAGATTAATTTGGTTTACACAATGTAATCATGTATTTGAGTATTATAAAAAATATCATGGCACATACCTCCAATGTTTGCTAAAAGTTTGTGTAACTATTAGGAATCCTTTATTACATTCCAAGCAAAAAAGGCCATTTAAATAGCATGTTATCATTGTGGATGCTTATATGCTTAAATTGCGTTAATGTTGGTTCCTTGAAATCGTAAGATTTGTTATGTAATGTGTAGTTTCAGGAGAGATGTTTTTATATGGAAATGCATTTTACCATGGATAATAAATTATATTTCCGAGCCCGACTGGCACAAAACATAAAACCTGCTCACTATTTCATGAGAGTTTTTGAAATTTCCCAAGAGGCTCTGGTAGCTGGTTCCCACTAATCTTTAGGCTTGTGTGGGTTCAGATTTAAACCTTTCGATGTGTTTCTTTTATTTTCCTGATTTTTGAGTAAAGTCTGCTATAGAAACTGCATATTACCCCTAACCTCACTTGATGTTTTGTTTTTGGAAGTAAAATAAAGTGTCCGTTAGCAACTAAAGCTGTCTTACTGGCTTGTGGGTTCTCAAAAAAAGATATCAGGAATATTTCTGCTCAGCCTTGAAATACTAAAAGGCTGAAGTTTGCAAGCAGATTAACACTGGCTGCTATTGAGCAAGATACAATTTTTCAACACCCCTCCAATTCATGAGATCCTTTCCATTTATGCCATTTCTCCTAGTTTATTTGGGAAGGGCCTGATGCACTGAGCACAGCCTGACCTCACCGTAATGAAATGGTTATTAGGCCTCCCGTATGCACACCGCACACCCACTCAAGAACTCCAAATAGAAGCCTCTAGTCTGTACTTAATACCTGTGAAAAATAGGCCAGTCCTTTAGAGAGCAATTAAAAGGTGCTACATGCACACAAAAAGTTTATTAAAAGGGTCAAAGAAACCAATAATGTGTCCTCTAGCCGTGGAAGCCAGGAATGCTAAGGTGTGCCCCAAATTTTACTTCCCACGGTAAAGCCCAAACGACATCAAATGGTGGGAGGTCCTGGTTTCTGACTGAGGGCAGCCCCAGCTGCGGGGACGACAGGGGAGCTGGCTAGGTTGCTGCTCAAAGTGATAAGCGTGGTGCCGGCTGCGGAAGGCAACATACCCTGTGGAAGCAAGTGTCTGCTTGTCAGGCTCTCCCGGGTGTGGATGATGGTGCTGCTCTCGTCCATGACAGAAGGCACCCTGCCCAGAGTTTCCAGGGTCCCAAGTTCGTGCCCTTTGGGCTGGCTCATCTCCCCTCTCGGTCCCAGGCTCCGATCAGCCTTCAACGCGGTTAGCGTAGAGGTGAGGATCACGGTCTTGGAAGCCGACTGCAAAACGGGCCCCACTTTAGACTGCCCCAAGCCGCCAGGTGTGCTGCTGGTAGTCGTGGGGGCAAAGGTCACGGATCCAGGAGGAGAGGAGGAGGAAGAAGTAGAGGCGGCGGCAGCAGCAGCAGCAGTTTGGACAGCTGTGGTTTTCAGGGGGGCAGGCGCAGCTTCTGCCATGACGGATTTTGTGAGTGCCGACAGTTTCGCATCTGACATAACGTAGAGGGTCTTCATGGGGCTCGTGGTAGTTACTAGACGAGGAGGACAAAGGAGACGGTTCAACATTCAACCCCTATCACTTTGCTCCTGGCTGAGCATCGTGGGCCTGGGTTCCTCAGAGAAACCTCCACGGACGGATAAAAGGGTTCTCCAATCCTTACTCTGACCGCGGCTAGCAGCCTTCAAATCAACCAAGCATTCCAACCCGCCTTCCGGCAACTGAGTTGTCTTTAGTCTTAGAATTTCGATGAACCTGCAAATATGGCAGTGATTCAAGGAAAGTCAGGAAAGTGGACTCTCCGGGATTGGGGGCCTTTCCTTAAGAATGTGCAAAAACAGTACAGAAATGCCAATAAAACCATGTTGAGTGAGTGCCAGGCTTCACCCGGGTGATGCTGGCTGCGGTTAACAGAAGTTGGAAGGACACAGTTGGGGCGTTGCACACTCGTCCTATGGCAGGTGTAATCTGGGAAGGGGCAGCTGTCAGAACTAAGTTGACGTTGGATCCAAGGAGTGTCCCATACACCAGAGGATTTAAAATGAGAAGAACCCCCCCTTTGTTCTTGGGTGCTATTTAACAGGAGGGCAGATAAAATCCCGGGCGGCTTAACAGCAGGAAGGGAGAGCAAGACGGGACTGTGGCTCTTTCTCACCTACGGCCAGTGATACCGTCGAAGACGGGTGAGGTGGAGGGTCAGTAGGGCGTCTCTCGGCACTCTGCGTTTTCTCGAGGTCCAGTTGAGGCAACCGTTTACTGGGAGGCAGAGGGCTGGGAGCTGGGCAGGCCACGTTCCCAGCCGCATTATCGGCAACCTGCAAAACGGGACAGGCACCATGAAGCGAAAGGGCGGCCAGTAAAACTGTGGCCGGTGCAGAGAATGCTGTGGTGAGCGTAAGGCAAGGCAAAACGCCACATCCCAGCAAGTCGTCGTCAGGAGAGGGAAGTACAGCTCTTCCCTGCGTCACCCCACGGCCCTCAAGAAGCCGGTCTCCAGGCAGGTGCCAATCCCGCCTGCCTGGTCCCCTCCCAAGGCAGAATCTCAAATCACCCTGCCTGGCACGTTACCTGGGGCAGCTGCGGTGGGGGAAGCAGCAGCTGCGCCTGCTCCTCCAGCTGTGCCTGGGCAGCTGCCACCGTGGTCTGGCTAAGGGTGGCGGCTCGACTGGCCTGTCCCCGGAGGGTCACCGTGATGGTGGTCGGGGCCTTTAAGCCTGGCAACGGGGAGGCAAGAGTTACCGGAGGCCCCCGACCCGGCACGTTCCAGCGGGGAGCCCATGGGCCGCCTCCCCCAAGAGCCCCACTGACTGGTCAGGAAGGCAATCTGGGTGGGATACCGTCCCAGGCTGGGCCTCCATCACGAACACGGCCACCGTACCTCGGTTTGTCTCAATGGCCCCCACAAGGCTTGGCTTTTCATATGGGCGAGTCCATATCAAACAACAGCAGGCTGAAAGCTTTGCCGGAGCTGGTCCCGGTTCAGCCCGCAACACTTCGGCCGCCCCCTTACGCGGATTCCCTTCTCCACTGGTTCGGGTCACGGAGACCCACCATCCAGAGCCGGCCACCCCAAGAAGAACTTTACTTTTTGCTCTGCCCCGCAGCCGGGCTCTTACCTGTCCCCTGTCCAGAGATGTGAGCCAAGCCAGGGAGGCTGCTTGCCAGTTTGGCCAGCCCGCCGTTGGTAAGCAGCTGATGGATGGTGGTGGGCTTCCCGCTAGCCGAGGCTCCGAGGGATGACAGAGAGGTGGCAACCGGGATCGTCCGGACGAGGGTGCTTCCGCTGGTCGTGATGGCACTCAGGCCCTGGAGGGGTGCCGGAGTCTTCGAGTTCTGCAGGGCGGGAAGGAGAAAAGGTCACAACACGTTTTCCTCCGAGGGTGTAAGCGAAAGCGTTTCGTCGGCCCCACGCGGGTCTTCAGATGCCAAGCAGCCAATTGGCCCAAGAAGCCGCGGATGGACACCCTGGAAAGAGGGAGAATAAAAACGTTCTCCAGGAGGCGAAGGGGGAATCCTTCGCCTCCATCCTTTGCGTAAGCGGAGACTCGTCGTAACGTCCCTCAATCTCACCTTCTCTTCAGCTTCACACTCAGGTTTCCACTTGGTTAAACCTGCATGGCTGAAATCAGACCCTGCCCATTATTTCAACGCTCCATTGAAACGCACCTTTCCCAGCCACCGAAAGGGCTGGGGGCGTGCGGGTAAATGTTTAAGACCCCAAACCAGCTCACATTGCCACTGCCCCGCTGCTGCAGCGGAGCTCTGCTCTCACCCAGCTTACAAAGTTCCAGAACTTTTAACACTGGGCTCCTCCTGAGCTGCTGCCCTTGGGCCTGGGCTACCTCCACTGCCTACCTGTGCCAAGGACCCAGCAGCGGCAACACCGGCTGGAAGAGCGGCGGGCTTGGTGTTGATGTCCTGCAGACTGAAGCTCAAGCCTTGCAGAAGGCTGCTGGCTGAAGCGGCCCCTGGAGGGAAGGAGAAGAGGGAAGCTGCGGCTCAGGACAGGCAGGTGCTCCTCTAGGCGTGGCCCCCCAGGACAGCCTGCCAGCCCATTCATTGGCACATGGGAGGCAGCTTCACCCCTGCTCTGGAGTCCCTCTGAAAGGGGATCGGAGCTTCTGCTCCTGGAAGGTCCACTGCTACCTTTGCCCTTGTTTTCATTTGAGTTGAGTTATAGACATGATAAGAGTTAAGAGAGACAGACTCAAAGCAGGCTTAAAACAAGGAGAGGCGTCTGCTCCACCAGGACTAGGCCAGGAATGCCGCCCTGGACAAGCAGTCTCCAAATCTGGCCAAAGACAAGGAAGCCTCCCCACCCCGCACCCACTGAGGGCTGCCTTTCCCTGGCAGAATCACCGCCTGCCGTTTACCTGGGAGCGCACCGGCAGATTGGGCCTGCAAGCAGGAGGTGCCGCTGGCCACCAGTCTGTTCTGCAGCGCGTGGAAAGCACTGGGAGCTGTGTTGCTCGGGATCGTAACGGAGGGCGTGGGACTGACGGAGGAGGGGCTGTCTGTGGCAGGATTCGGCCTAGGAAACGGAGAAGGAAAGGCAGTGACTGGGCTTGGTCTGAGGCAGCTGAGCTGGGTGGGTGATGCACACAGACTTCCTGGCACAAAGGAGCTGTTGGCCTCGGCGGCTGTGGGGCTGCTCGCACGCAAAATATTCCCCGAGTCTCAGCTGGCCTGCATAGAGCACCTGCTCTTGGAAATACACCTGCCTTCTCTTGGTGCGGTTGGATTGCAGCATTTCTTCTGATAAGTTCCAGTGTGGACACAATTGACACGTGACACACACACCTCTCTCAAAAACAGGAGTTTTGCTAGATCAGGCCAACGCCCCGTTAAAAAGAGGCAGACGTTGTCCTCCATCCTCACGAGTGGTGCGGTGGCCCAGAGGTGGAGCTCCCGCCTCACAATCAGGAGGCAGATATTTCTCTCGCTCTGGGCACACTGAGAATCTATCTGCTGAATAAAACTCCACCCTGGTGACAGGAAGGGCATCTGGCCAGGAAGCACTCAGCTCCATTCAGTTGCCCAGACTCCACCGGGCA